CAGGAGGGCTGGCAGCTATCAGAAGACTGGCAGGAGGGGGCCACACACATAGTGGGCTGGCAGCTCATGGGCATACACACAACTGGCTTGCAGCTCATGGGCACACACACAGCGGGTTTGCAGCTCATGGGCACACACACAGCAGGTTTGCAGCTCATGGGCACACACACAGTGGGCTTGCAGCTCACGGGCACACACACAGCGGGCTTGCAGCTCACAGGCACACAGCTGGCTGCCTGGCAGGAGCTGGGCACACAGCAGGCTAAGCTGCAGGAGGAGGGGCAGCACAGACACTGGGAGCCACCAGAAGAGCAGCTGGAACCTCCACAAGGTGACTGGCTGGACATGGGCTGACACAGCAAGGTCATACAGGAGGATGGTGGGCTGCAGCTGGAGCTCATGGAGCACGAGGGTGAGCAGCTGGTGGTGGGGACACAGCACAGGGATGAGCAGCTGGCCGACTGGCAGCCCGAGGAGCAGCAGGTATGGCACATGGTGGGTGTGTGACTGGAGCTGGTTTCAGAGAGGAGGTGGGGGCAGGTCTGCTGGCTACTTCTGCTGAATGGCCTTTATAGTCCTGGCACACAGGCATCCACACAACACACAAGCACAACTATCCCTTTCCTTGTTTGTACTTCCTGTGGGCTGTCTACCAGGATCTTATTTTTCTGTTGTGGAATTTTCTGTTTTGGCATTACCTTCATGACTAATTGCATCCTCTTTACATTCTTGTTTCAACTGAAATTTTGCCCATGCGTCTTACTGGCCCTGTCTGGATTCTGTCTCATTCCTTGAAATTCCACCTGTGCTACTTTAAGATCCTACAAAAACATGGATCTCCAGATTTACTTCTCCTATCTCGTATCTTCAAACAACTGCAACTCATAAACTCTTCCTAAGTACCAGGAGTCCTGGTGTGGTGCCTTAGGAAAAGCACTACCCCTAATTACCAGTTTGACCCACAGTCAGCAGTTCACACTCACCAGTTTTTCTTGGAAACCCTAAACCAAGTTGTGATCAGTTGGAAGCGACTCCACTGCATTTAACAGCAAAAGCAAGTGCCAGGAGGAGTTCTGTGTCACACTCTAAGATAAGCAATGCACTGACAACCTTAATGTTGGTGGCCCAAACCCACCAGAAGTTGCTTGAAACCTTATACATGGTCGCTATGAGTTGGAACAAACTCGATGACACTTTATAATGACAAGAATAACAAATGCCAGAAAGGGTCCATGGTAAATGAAGGAGAATAGAAGACTGTTTTCTGGCCTTTATGTTTCCCTAAACTGGAAGATGGAGTTGATAATTGACCAACAAGAGAGAAGGTAGAGAGGATAAGTGAAGAATGAAGAATGGTGGTCTTGGAGAACTCCTTTTTTATACCCTGGTCTTCAAAGAGCTCTTAGTTGGGGAATCAACATCTTTGGACATCTTCAAAGAAAGCAAGACTCTTGCTATTCAGGGCTTAGAGTTGGGCCATGCATGTGAACAAGGAGGTGTGTGGAGAGCCAGGGTAGGTGGAAGGTCACCCTATCTGCTGGGGAGCTGTGGCGGGAGAGACTAGAGCTCGATAATGAAGAACCAAATAAAACAAGTAGTTATTGATCAAATGACTGTTACCAGACTAGCCTTCTAATCAACTACACAGTTGTAAAGAATTGTCTAGCAAATATGTTAACACAGTCATGAACAGTCAATATGATTCTTTAGTTTGAGTTGAAGGAAAACTCAGAAAGTTAACTTCACATACACCTAGCTCTAGGTCTGGGGTCAA